ATCATGCTCCTCTCTATAGGGAGCAAACCCTCGTAGAAATACACAATCAATAACCGATAAAAAACCGATGGTGTGGGTAGTTGGAATAAAACTTCTTGAACCACTCTTAATACTCATAAAGAGTTTCTCTAGTAAACTATTAAATCCCATATATTTCCTTCTTTATACTCGTAGCTCTAAAGTAAGAAAGTACTTCATCGAAATGCTTGCTTTATTCTACTCCAAGAGTCAATTGATCTCACAAGGAGATCATATAACCAATCCTTAGCATCCCCATCCAATAAAAAAGAAATTCCCTCAATTTGATTTGCTCATCCGATATTTCTTATAGTCTTATAGTTGAGTAGACCACATGAAATTTCTTTAAATATTTATGGGGATCTTCTCCAACTAGACTTTGAAATTTAAGAAGTAGGTGTATTAGTCTCGATTTTAACTCAAGCACCACCTTTAGAATAGGAAACTCGATACATAGGGGCTACTGATTAAGATTAAGAGCGACCAACCTCTTTAATGTCTTATTGTCCTATTTGTAGCCATATCTTCTTCTTCCGAGTTACTAGATGATAAAAACTCAAAAACCATAGTTATACTTAGTGAAACCACTTTTTCGGATGACTCAATTCTCTAAATCGAAGCTAACCTTGCTTCTTTTCTCAAGTTGCTTAGCTCTATTTTTGGTTTGAGATTGAAAATCAACTCTCCCGATTAAAACCCGTTCATATACCATAGATAACCAAAACATAAAAATAATAAAAAATATTCAAAAATAATAAACTTTAGCCACTTTTGCCGACAATGGTGCCAAAATTTAATGGCGTGTCATACCGTTAATACATTAGTAATTTGTATTTATCCTTATAGAGCTTTCAATTACGGTTATGTAATCAAGACAAGTAAGAGTCGAACCCATAGAGATAGAGAATCAATCGATTTTTTTGGTTGTTTGAATGTTCGTATAGTGTAAAGGGGAGTTTATGTGTTTGGAATATTTGAAAACAATAGGAAGTAGCAAAGAATAACAATATTAAAAAGGCCTTGGTTGAACTTTAGTATCCACTTTTAGTTTGGTCGCTAATCATCGATTAAATAATTAACTTATTCTAAATATGAATATTCATCGTAAGACAATAATATATATGTTAAACCTAGTCTCTCCTTAGTTGTTAATTGAATATATGATACTTAATTAATTCTCTAGCTATTGAACAACCTACTAAGTGCTAGATATACTTAATCCAATAACAGACATTAAGATGAGAAAGAGAGGTGAAGCTAAGCCACATTCCTAAATGCTAAAGAAGATGTAACCTAGTTCTATGTTTTCTAAGAAATTGAACGAAAACATTACATAATTATCAACTTCTAGTTACTACCACAAACAAGTTTTGATAAATAATTACATGAACTTGAATGCTTAGCTAGCAATAAGTTAATATGACTAAACAACTAGCATGCACTCTAACCAATTTAATCATACAACTACGAACCAATCTTGCAAAAAAACATAAAATACTTAATAAAGATAAGTTTAGAAGTAAAACCAATAATCTCATAGCGATTAACCAAAAGCTTCAACTTAATTCAATCAAGATAGAGTTTAATTGCTCATAATGGTTTGTAAAGAGAATTTCTATGAATGGTGGCTATTAAAGAGTTGAAAAAGGAGAGAGAGCTAGAATAATATCCTAGCTTTGCTATTTATACTTAAAACTAGGATTACATCATGTGTGTGTCACCCCACATGGTTACATGACTTAATACATAAAGTTATATGGTTTGTTAATTTGTATCACATGGTTTGGATCCTTGAAAAATAAGTGTTACACAATTAGCTGGTTAGAGCACATGACCATATGCCTTTGTTCTTCATTTCATGTTGCTAAACTTCAGCCCATGTATATCTTTTTTTCAAGCCTCGTTGAATCTCTTCAACTCATGTAAACTTGCCTTACTTTGAAGACATATGTGAGTGACTTTGCACCGCAAACCATGTGCAATACTTCGCCCGTATGGCTTATGTTTACTTGAGAATCCATATGATTTTTTCTTTAAGTCACATGAGCGATTGCTATTTCCTTTGTTTTTTCACATGGTCGTATGACTCTTTTAAGCCTTTTTGAAGTTTTTCTATTTCTTGCTTAGGTTTTGGGTTTCCTTATTTCGATTCATCATTTTTTCCGCAAAGCTCGAAACTCGTCATCAACTCATCTTATTTTTAAACAACATAATATAATATAATAATTACTAAAAATTTTAATGTAATAAAGCATAAAAATCATGCTAATTATGCACCGATAAATAGGCATCTTGAACATGTTAAATCTCTCGAGATGCATAAATTGTAGCTTTGTCATAATAATAACCTATTGAACCTTTTTATATTGCACTACTTATTTTAGGAATGCAATTTGAGGTTCCCTCTCTCTCTCTCTCTCTCTCACTCTCTCGCTCTCTCTCTCTCTCACACACACACATGTGTGTGTGTGTGCACGCATGTATGTTACTATAATAGAGTTCAACTTTAAAAGTCATCCAGGTTTAGATGGGCTCTCTCACACGAGCAATTGTCTCTAGCGTTGTTGGAAGCAAGTAGAGAAGAGACAAAACTCCTCTAACGCTATTAAGAGCTAATAAAATGGAGATAAGATTAAGAAAGTATCGCCTTATGTAAAATTAAGATGACATTGTAAATCAATATATATTTTACAATCGATTTGGAAAGCCCAATCCAAATAACTTATAAAAGTTAGATTTAAGATCTCGATGATAATACCTACTAAAAGAAAACACTTCGAGAACTTAGGTTAATCATTTGTGTCCGATAGCTAAACTAAGATTTGTATAGTGTGTATAAAATGTGATAACCGAAAATAGTGCAAGCACGTGTTTCATACTACATGTGCTAATATGACCACAAAAGATAATGAGAGAATGAATCTCTATTTCTCCACCATGTGAGATCTTTAGAGAAATAATAATATCCTCTACGTAATATCATTATCACTTTTTACCCGTATTCGAGATTTAGCCTTAGTGTTCGCTATCTTTGCTAGTTATTTATGATTATGTATGATTCAATCTATAAAACTAGTCTAAAAAAAATCAAATTCTGAATTAAGAATGCCAAGTAAGAAAAGAAGACGTGTTCGGTATATTCATTGGTTGACCAATCATGTTATTTGAAAAAAAAATCTTTTGAGAGCAATATGGATGTGATTATAGATACAATATGAAACAGGAATATATGTTGATTGAGAAATTTGACATAGTAAGATATTAAATATAAGAAACTGTCTAGGGAATTACAAGATTTATGATACATTATATCATGCATGTCGTTTATTTATCTTAAGTGGAAGCTATTATATTATTCCAAAGAGATGCATAGTAATAAACTTGCAAAATGCGGGAATGCTCATTAGATAACATGATCTATTTGTTAGTATGAAAATCTATATTCTTGTTTTACTATTGATATTATAGAGAGTCTAGCATCGTGTCTAACCCACCATGTACAAGTGAAAGATTTTTTTTTTTTTTTTTAAAAGAATTTGGGTCAATTCGCCCATGACGAGTTGATCCGGCAACAAAATTATTTTAAATAAAAAAAATCAAACAATTGTTGTATAGTTGTAGGAAAAGTTATCCCAGTCCACTCCCATATATATATATATATATATATATATATATAAGGGGAAAAAAAGGATAAGGCTTACAAAAAAATAAAAAATAAAAAGATAGAGAAACGAAATCTTTTTGACTCTATAAAAAAGTAAATTAAAAAAAAAGTTTATCTTGGTATTTAGATTATATAATTTCAGATAATGATATAGTTTCACTATCTACTAATTTAGTAAAACTACTTTCACAAAAGTGTTAAATTTGTTATTTAGGTTTTATTTAGATATTTTATTACATGTTTTCCCAAAATTGTTAAGAGAAAGGGTGCCACGAGTTACTGGTGTTGGGCTTCATGATCAAGGTGCGCACACATGCACACAAGAGAGAGAGAGAGAGAGAGAGGTGTTCATGGTGGCATAAGAAAATATAAAGGATATATAATTGTTTGTTGTTGGTTACAAGATGAACCTCCAAATGGCAGGGCATATTGAAAAGAAATAATGAGTGGCTATGGAGCTTGATGCAAGGGGCACGCACAACCATACAGAGTCTAATATGTGTATCCGTACATACTTGGGTGATTGGCATGACATCGGATATTAAAAGTAATAATTACGAGAATCATATGCGTAGAGGTTTTTTATAACTTAAGTTCTAGTAATGCAATACTGAAATTTTGTATAGTACATAATGAAATTTTGCTTATTTTTTCATAATTACCTATTTATTTTCTGCAACTTACTACTTATATCTTACAAACAAAATTAACGTGGCAATATTACGTTACTTATACTTTGGGTTAACTTCTAACCCAGCTGATTGATTCCAGTGTTGGGTAGAAGCACTCATACCTAATTCTTTTTCCTACAAAATTAGAAGCTTAGGCGTTCTACTATTGATCTAACATGCAAATTCTTTTTTCAAGGTACATGCAGTAACGATCTTGCCAGTTCCATTTTATTTGGAACTGAAACTAGGTTAGAGCATTTTCAACCTACAGAAAACAATGGAGAAAGTGAAGAAAATTCAATGGATTTCCATGCAATAAGTCAAAAAAGCAAGTTAAAAGATTTACACATCCCAAAGAAGTTACAAGCCACCAAGATCTCCACTAGTACTCCACTCCATGTTCCCCCTTCCCCACCACCCCCCAACACCCCACACCCCCCCTGCGAAAATACTCTATACTCGACAGTAGAGTCTCTGACTATGATTCTCTGAAAAAGGAAAAGGAAAGAAGAAGAAAAAACATACCAGCATTAACTTCCAAAAACACCCCATAAGGTCTTTCGATGTCCCAAGTAAGATGATCCCTAAATTACTACTATGATGAAAGAAAATGAAGGGGGTTGAAAGGAGGGGACATAGACTCACTGCTATGGTTCTCCAACTTTGGGAATGGATGACCGGTGATAAATGTTACCATGACATGGAGAGGCACGGTGACCATTGAATTTCAGGAAGCTATTTGTTGGTTGCACATTCCTTGACAAACCTGGCCGCACTCTACTTCCATTCTGAGCATTTGGATTGGAGCTGCCACGCTCTGATTGCATGGCCTGAAAGTAGGATGAAGAACAGGCTATGTCCTTGAGGTAAGGCAGAGGCTTCAGGGCTTCAACAATTTCACTCATCAGAGGTCTGGCTTTTGGATCACGGTTAAGGCAGTGTGCAGCCAACTGGATTGCCTTCTGAGCACCTTTGATAGAGAAGCGTCCTTCAAGACGAGGATCTATCATTCGGTAGAATCTTCTCCTCTCCCCAAGGTGTGGCCGTGCCCATTCCACCAGATTATGCTCACCATTTGGTTGTTTTTTGTCCATGGATCTTCGACCAGTCAACATTTCCAGTAACACTACCCCAAAGCTATAGACATCACTCTTAGATGTGAGATGACCTGGCACAACATCAAATGTAATAAGTATAGAAGGATTTGCATAGACCAGCTCGAATAATGCAATGCTTAATTATAAGCACATCAAGTGTGACAGGTACATGCATGTGTGCACCTGTGAGGGTGGGTTCATAGGGGAGGCATGAATTCCGATAAATTCTCAGTTAGCATGAATTTGATCCTAGTGATGAGAACTCACTGGATTTTGCAATAAACAATAAAACAAATTCACCTTATCAACATTAGAAAACTAGAGATTCAGAAAGCATTCAACTAAGGCATTGCAGAGGATGCATGCATGCACTACTATTGGATGTTGAAAATCAAAGAGACAAGGGAATCTGTCAATAGAAATATAGAAGATATGATTTTTTTTTATATACTTTTATGCAGAACAAGAAGATGATGATGCTAAGAGAGCATCTTCCTATAAATCAAGAATAATACAACAAAACGTGGCAAAATTTTTAAGGATAAATCTTTATTTGACCACATAGAGTACTGTTGAAAGCCCAACAAACTAGTGGAGTCCTCGCATGCTTTGAAAGAAAGGCAAACAATGCTTACCTATTTGTCAAAGAAAGCAGGCCCTTTCATGCTATATTTTTTGCTGTTCAGAACATAATTGCAACATATATTCACCATTCACCATCAGTCTAGGGTTCCATATTTATCACCCACTAATAATGCCAGTACTCTAGTAATCTCAAGTATCATTAAGTCTGAATTGATTGAGACGACTGTGAAGCTTTCTGTAATTGGGGTCCTCTTTCTGTCTTTATTGTTCACTTGCCTAAAATATCTTTAGTTTGAACCCCTCCACTCCCCAACATCTTAATTTGAAATTCTTTTAAGTCATTTTATTTCATCATATATCCACATTAATTTCATTCTTGTTCTTTTGGAATATGAATACCAGGTTCTGAAATATAGCTCATTTTACGGTGATGCAGCAGACAACTAACAATGGTGAAATGTTGAACATGTTAGTGCAGAAATGAGTGAAAGCAACAACAACATAATGTAGTCAAGGTTTGGAATTAGAAAGCAAGAGGCATTCTGTTGGCTGCATTCCAGCAATGGCAGCAAGGTACACATACATGTGATATAATAACATAGTGTTAGTGACAGTAACAAGGTACTGTCAGTGACACTGGAGCAGATGGGTGATATATCATGGTTCTAGTGTCTGGTCAAGAGTAAGACGATTGCAGTAAATTGTGGAGATAGCAGTGACGGCTATAGAAAATTACAATGGAGCAGAGGGGAAATTCTAGTGCAATAGTAGGGAGTCATAGAGATGGAAACATGAATGAAGGGAGTCGTCTGGAGAGTTTGAATATCACATTGATTGCGAAGCATAGCAAGTGATGCTGTTGAAGTTACACTATCAGGAGTCAATTAGTGGGAGGGGCATGGGAACTCGTGTTTGTGGTTGTACTAGCTACTTGATAAAGGTCAATCTGTGAAACATGGAATTTATTTAAGCATTCTTTTCCACATCAAGAAAGTATTTAAATACCATTGTTCCTCTCACATATGCACGCAGCACGCATACACACTCATGTATCAGGGTGGACCTAATACAAGATGTAACTAGTCCTGGAGAAACACTAAGCAACAAGAAATTCAGCTTCTTGTTGAGCATATATAACACACTGGATTACATTCAATCAAAAGAATAACACCAGTATTAATGCAGAAGATTGATGTTTAACATGCTCACCTGCAATCAATACTCGGGCTAACATACTGGATTATATTGAATCACAGGTATAAAACATGTACTGATGCAAAAGACAATGACACATAGTGTTTAATGTGCTCACCTGTCATAACATACTCAGGGGCTGCGTAACCATATGTTCCCATCACACGGGTAGATACATGAGTCTTGTCCCCTTCCGGACCATCTTTGGCAAGTCCAAAATCAGAAAGCTTGGCATTGTAGTCCTGGAATAGGTCTAGCAATACTTTAGAAATGGCTAGGACAGCGGATAAATAATGGATTACTTGCATAAAACTAGTCACTCACTGCATCTAGTAGGATATTAGATGTTTTAAAATCTCTATATATCACTGGCCGTTCAGCTTCCTCGTGAAGAAAGGCAAGGCCCTTTGCAGCACCAAGCAATATTTTCATTCTGACAGACCAGGGAAGAGGCAGGGATCCTGCTGCATCAAACATAATTAGTCCCGGAAATGTACAATGAACTATCTAAGAACAGAACCTAATTTGGTGTCTGTATTGCCAACATATCTAAATTAGGATAATAAGGATTATGTTTGTGTACACATTTACGGAATGCATTATCTCCAGAAATTGGTTTTCTATGTGAACTACTTGTTCCCTAATTTCAACTGTAATGAATATATGTGCACTATGACAGCTTTCCTAGGCCTTTCAACGAAATACTTCAATCTCATCCCTTTCAAATTAAGTGCAATTCAAGAGATGTCTTTGGCATAAATACAACTTCCAGCAAGCAAGCACTGCAAAAAATAAAAATAAAATACATATAGGCACTGAGAGAGAGAGAGAGAGAGTGCAAGAACTCTCTCTTCCCTTAAGTGAAGTGCATTGGAAATTTAACCTCCAGCAGTTGTTAATTATGGCATCCCGTTTATATAGTTTATTAGAAGGATGATGCATAACCTACATTTATGACCACCAACCTTTTCCAAACCAAGTGATTTGCCACTTTTTGACATATTAATTAATATTACCTTCAACATATTAATTTGACATTTTCTATGCGGGCAGTAAAATTTAAGGCTTGCGCTGGCTTCATTTCACACTATCTGTGACTGCGACAATAACGTCCTTCACTTCGAAATCAAAGCTTATAGGAAGGAAAGAAAAGAACATCACTTTTAGGAATGATATTATCCTAGAAATAAATTGCATAGCATGAAAATGTATTAATTTCTTTTAGCTAATAAATTTGGTTCCCATATACCTATAAAACTCCCTTTCCTAAAAAACACTATATAAAAAGACCACGTATAATTCACTCATTAGTTATCCAACCAAGCAGAAGATTTGTTGATTTAACAGGCTGTACACTCATTAATAGATGGCTCATTGAAACTCTACCAGTTTAGAAGAAAACAGAGGATAGGTAACCAAATATGTAGAATAATAAGCTTGTTACATACTTCTAAAGAGGTGATTCTCCAAGCTTCCTCGAGGCATAAACTCATAGACTAGAAGCCTTTGATTATCTTCAATACAATACCCAATTAATTTAACCAAATTAGGATGGAGAAGGTCGCCGAGATAGTTAACTTCAGCCTGCCACGTATAGAGAAAGTATCCTTCAACCATAAATGCAGAAATAGAACATGCATTTATTGTAGATCAAATATGCAAGTGAAACATATGTGCCCGTGCATGCATGTAGATGAACGTAAATATAGTAAGAAAGTTGTGAGGTTTCTTACAAGCCATTCTTTATGTCCCTGAAGTCCATCGTGGTTGAGAGTTTTTACTGCAACAGACAGCCCTGTTCCAGGTTTCACTGGAGTAATTCCACTCTCATTAATCCAACCTTTGAATACACAACCAAACCCTCCCTCGCCAAGAAGACTCTCAGGTCTAAAATTCCTTGTTGCTAATTTGAGCTCATTAAAGGAGAATTTTCGAAGCTGAGAGGAAACTTTCAGTTCCTCACCGATATTGGGAGTAGATGGAGTACTTTCAACATTGCTAGTGCTTGAAGATGATCCCACTTGAACAGCTGGCTGGTCTCTGCTGCTATCATTTGTTGATTTGCTTTCCACTGAATCACAAACAAAAACAAATACTATCAGTGTATCCAGATTTTTGGTGATCAACCAATCTATAGTTAGATATATGAACTCAGATGAATTTAAATATTTCCAGAAACAGTATAAACCAAGAGAGACATGTGTATTTATAAACAGGGAAACAAAGACACACCCATAGGCATCGTTGAGGTTAAATGGCATGTATACTGATGTAGGTTTACTTTGAACCATCCAGGCATTTTTATCAGTTAAAACATTTCAAGGTATAACACACCAAAGCATACTGAAGTTAGTTGGATTATGTCTCTTTGTGAGATAAGAACAAGCTGAAACATCAGTGGTGCTTAAATGCATGGTTGGTGGCTTGAATTCAATCCAATGACCTTTATCTGTTTTATCATCTCTAAAAGCCAAATCACAACTTTCAGATTCATTTGCAAAAAATAATAATAATAATAAATAAATAAATAAATAATCATTAATAAAATTGATTCAAGAGTAGTTTTCTTAAGTAGTTTTCTTAAAGGTCAATACATTACTCTTGTATAAGATAGTCTGAGCATTGAATTCAATATACTAGGTAAGAATTTGCTAATTTGTCTGATCTAGACTCTAGTGAAATCGTCCATTCATTGGTTTTCTTATTTTAACCACATGCTTCTGAGTAGGAAGTGAAACCTTCATAAAATTGGATATTAACTCTTTCAGTGTAGCCTAGAGAATAGAATTGGACATGTTGCACTCAAGGTCACATGTTATGTAATTTTGCATGCTATAAGAGTTCAGTTATCAAATGGGAATGTGAACATAAAATTTATGACTGCTGTCAATAAATGATTAAAGGGGTTACTAGTTTCCTGAAATATCAGATAATGCACGACACTCAAATGCTCAACCAAAAAAAGTCAGTTTTATATTTCATGTACTAACCACGGGAAGTTTTCTAAAAGAATCAACCATATAAATCTTGCAAGAAGAGTATTTTGAACAAGCATATATAATAATGCCGCACAAATTTACGCTGATGTTTTTTATATTAAGTATCTCAAACATTTCACATCTTGATCCAACCAACATATTTCGTAAACCAGTATTTGAGTATTAAACTGAGCATAACAAGCTCCAACCACTTAGCCACTATATATTGCATTATTTGACTCATTTCAGCTTCCAAAAGAGCGGCAAAATAATTAGGATAAATCACAACATGTGGCCGAATTTGGTTAACAGACATACAACAAAATCAAAACTACCTATAAACTGTATCAACCAACTTAAAGCACTTACCTAAATCTCTTCCCATAAAAATGAACACATGGAGAATAACATAGCATCACAAAACCTCTGACAGTAGTATTAAGCAAATTTGAATAGGGAGAATAAATGACAGATACGATGAAAAGACATTATCAGGTTGATGTGCTTGTAAAAACAAAGAATTGAATCAATATATTATACGATTCAGTATCCATGTGGCACCAAACAAGTACAATTCAAAAATAATCATAACATGTTACAACCCAACTTGAAAAAAAAAAAACAAATATTTAATTTTCTTGTTTAATTCGAAAGCACAGTCAGAGGATTCAAACAAACCAGTAAGACGGAAATAGATATAGCGAATGAATCAAATTATACCATATTGTGTGCTAGTGCCACTTGTGGAGCTATCGACCCTTGTTCTTGAAGAAATGCAGCTCCCAATGAACCTAAACTTAATCCAACATCCGGTTTCCTCGGCTTCACCATCTTTCTTCTTCTTTAACTTCGATTTTCCAACAGTCCAATCAGCCACATTGATAGAATCAGGACCTAACACCATCTTTTTGAAACTAAAATATGAAATACAGTACCATATCTCACAACTTCCTCAAGGCACCAGCTACAGCCCTTTCAATTCACTTAAGCCCTAAACCAACCCAAACCAAGTCAACCATTAAAATGACCCCAATTACCACTGACTATCAAGCCCCAGCACACAAAAACAAAACCCAGAAAGCAAAAACCAAACAAACCAATCAAAACTCTAAGAAACCTTAAAAAGAGACCACCTTTTGAACTCACAGCATCTAATTTAAAAACCCACCAATGTCAGTGAAATACACATAACAAAATTTATGTTTTTAGAAGGCTAAAGATACTAAAATGGGCATGACCGATATCACAAAATGTACACGCAAGAAAAAGGACCACCATCAACTGTAATCTTTAGAACCAACATAAAGACAGAAACTTTGAAAAACCCTAGAAAATTTTGAACCAAACACAACGAACAAGCACAGAAATGAACAATGTCGGTTAAATTAAAAAATTGTCAGGTCGATTCAGCTCATCAAACAAAAATACACATTCCCTCCATCACTAACACAGTGCATTGCGAAGTCTAGGGCCATCTCCGCAAGAAATCTTACATTCGGAGGTTATGATAGAGAAAAGAGTGGGGTTTTAAGGGCCATGGAGAAAGAGGAACGTGCGTTACATGCGTGAAAAGGTATGTGCGTTTGAGAGAGAGAGAGAGAGATTAAAACAGCAGTGAGGCACTGCGTAGGCTGGCTAGCTAGCTACTGTTTTCGTGCTTGAATATTTTGGTAAGTTCAATGTTGTTTTTATGTCTTTTTATTATTATTATTATTTCTTTTTTGTCATGTGTTTTTTGTCGTTTTCACATTGCAAAATAGTAAAATGGATGGTGTTGACGGCAAAAGGCCGTAAAATTGATAGACCCAAGTAACTAAATCCACAAGGAGTGGAAACCCAATGGCCTAATGTGATCAAAATATTTGGGATCATATTACTGAATGAAAAAAAATAATTCAAAGTAGATGAAATATAATTGTAGGACTAAAATGATAATTTTATTATAAAAATAATAATATAATTATAGGACTAGAAAGATGATTTTATTATAATAATACTAAAAGAGTTGAGCGAGAAAAATCATGGAAAAATGAATTATAATATCTTTTCACTCAACATATTATTTATATGTGATTATTACACAAAATTTTAGATTATAAATTTAATAAGAAAAATACATTCATACATAATAATAGTGAATTGAATCATATTAGAAAATATGAATAATTATTGAAAAATATATGGTTTTAGACATTCATTATTTCATAACATTTTTCATTGAATGTCCATCATAGAAAAATATATCTTATTAAAATCTTAGTGAAAAAACAAGAGTACGAGTATTATATGTATACATTAATCTCTATATTAAGTTCACCTTGTTGAAAATATTATTTAAAATCTCTAAGACGTCACATCCTAATATTTTGAGTCATTTTCTCAAAAATTGAATTCAAGTAATGGCTTAGTAAATAAATCTATTGTAATGTCTTAGCCAATTGGCTAGTGCCCAACACTAGTTTGGCTACTTACAGAGCTAGTGCCTAACACTAATCTGGTGCCAATTGGCCTTACTCACTCACATGTACCTAGCTTGGTATCCGGTCTTGCATGCTTGTACACTTAGCTTGCAGCTTAGCACACATGTGTGCCTCGTCCTTGTCGGATGTTTAGAGGGCACCCAATGCACCCTTGCCATATAGCATGCTTACTCGCATGACTAACCTACCCAACGAGCTCGATATGCACAAGGCATGCCTAATCTATCATACACCCAATGCACAACCGGTTTGGCTAGAAGGCTCGGAGTGTGCAAGGCATGCTTGGCTCCGTTACATGCCTAATGTGCGACTAGCTTGCCCAAAAGTCTTGGAGTACACAAGGCATGTCCGGCTTATCGTACGTCCAATGCACGACCGGCCTAGCACGCACGATGCACACCGGCCTATCGCACGCCCAACATGTGACTAGTCTAGGTAGAATGCCTAATGTACACGAGGTACGTCTAGCCTATCACACACCCAACGCATGACTAGCTTGGCCAAAAGGCCTAGCGTGCATAAGGCATGCCTAACTAGAAGGCCTAGTGTGCACAAGGCACTTCTAGCCTATCACATACCCCGCGTGTGACCGGCTCGGCCGCAAGTACTCATATGAGTGCCAACATCCAACATTGGCCTCGCACACACCTACTATATACGTAGCCCAAAATCAATTTTAAATATTTATAAAATACCAACATTAGATTTATAATGAAAAATTGATAATTTATGCGATTAATCATAATTAACAAAGCATATAATTAAAGATTAAATGAAGGTCGTGATACCTATTGAAGGATCATGCATCCTATGGAGGTGTGGAATAAAACAAAAACTTTCCTCTACCTAGGGCTCCCAAGATCAAGCTCGTTGAATCAACTAATCACATATACATAAATTAAAAGCATGATAAAAGATTTACCTCTTAGTAGTGTAGATTTAACCTTTCCAAAAAGGCATCGTCCAAGTGTCCAACTTCTATTGGTAATCCATGTAGCTTAAAACATGCATAAAGAAAGCCATAGAAATCATAGAGAACTAGCTCTAATCTTTCTATATAGTTGATTTGATTTCTAAAGAAATTAGTTAGGGTTTTTTTGACAACTCGAGCTTTTAAGAAGGGATGTAACAACTCGAGCTTTTAGGGAAAGAAACACTTTCTCTTTATTTTTCTTTTCTTTTTCCATGTATGTGTCTCACTTGTGTCTCTTTTCTCGCCTCTCACCCTATTATTTATACAGGGGGTGGAATCTTTATCCTCTAAGGACAATGAGTTACAACATGTGTGGGTTTGTTTAATCTTATCCTTGTAGACCTTGAGCCTTATCCAATAGGACTCAAGTTTATCCTCTTACAAAAATATCTTACAAGTTTTTAAATTAAGTATATTGACCCAAACTCTTTGGTCCAATTAATTATCAATTAATTTGAACTATCCAAATAAATTGGTTCAGTATTTTTAGGAAGTCCATTTTAGGAAATAATTTCTAAAATACCCTTAAACTTAAATTAGGAAACTAATTTTCCTTTTAGGTAACTCACTTCTAAATTTGTAATCGACTTTCAAATTAGAAAACTGATTTCTATAATAAAAAACTTTTCATTTTAAGAAACTTTTTCCAAAACAGAAAACTTTCCATTTTCGAAAATCATTTTCAAAATAGAAAACTTTCAAAACTAGAAACTTTTCCAAGATCTTTACTTTTCTTTTTATGTGAATGCTTAAACTTATACATGCGACTCAATAGGCTCCTAGATATGTTGACAATGTATCAAGAGTAAAAGACACCTTTTTTATTTCTTGGTACATAAATCAAGATTAGCCTCTAGTAAGGGATCATGACTATCCAATTCTTTAGGAGGATTAATTAATCCACAATTACCTTTTACAAGCATGGTTATCATATAATCTAATTTTCATATTAATTTATCATAGTGTGATCTCGAACTTGGTTTATAATATGTTTGATTATGATCATACAAGTTTTTATTTTTTCAATTTCTAAATATCTTAGCTCTAGAGTAAACTAATTATGTTATATTTGTATACTCCTACTATGGTCATAGATTTCTTGAGTAGATATTTATCGAAGTGCAATGTGATAACTCCTTTAGCATATAAGGAATGACGTATACTATCTTAGTCATCCACCTATCTCTATTAGATTCCTAGTGCACTCAACGAAATCATCCACATATAGCTATTGATCGTGCCATTGAAATAAGTATAAGAGTACATAAATCTTCTAATGAGATAACCGTGATAACTTCAAGTCAAATGATCAATTGTACCCATCTCGTATGAGTTTACCATAGATTAAACTAAATGAGTTCTCATGGCAAGTCATGTCTAGTGATATATTCTCTAACATTAATTACCTAAGTGCTTCCATTGGTATCACTATGCCAATAGGTGTGAGATCTCTTACTCGCTATCTTATAGCATGAGCATAGCACTTACAAGTCTTATCGCATATAATGAATATCCATTCTTGACCGTGTTAAGACTTGAAAAATAAATGATATCATTTAAGTACATTAATTTTTATCTCACATCTTACGATCAATCTTTAATGCAATACATATCATATGGACTTCTATCTAATTCTATCAAATATGAATGATAAGAATTAATAAAAAAACTTCTTTCATTAAACAAATAAAGATCACAATATTATAATAAGTTAAACCATTCAAACAAGGTTGGATTCGGGCATCTATACTAATAATCGAAGGCTTCATTTTAATGATTAGAAATCAAATAAAAATGATTTGAAAGCCATCGGTGGTCTCTTTTCTAACGAGTAGAAAACATATAGAATGACTTCTAAACTACTAGTGCCTTCATCACATAAGTGAAAAACCACCAATAATTTTATTTCGGTGATCAAAAATTAAATAAAAATAGTTTAAGAGACACTAATGAATTTATCCACATAGGTAGAAAGCTACCGATGGCCTTTTTTCTAACAAGCACAATACATGTAAAATAACTTCAAAACCACTAGTAGCTTCATCACATAAGGGAAAACCCATCAACAAATTTATTTTAGCGATCGAAATTTGAATACCTTACATTAGACATGTATATTATGCATTCAATGCATCAAAACCAAACACACCAAATCAACATAAGCAATAACATTGCATAAATATGCAAACACCGAGATCAATATTTATCCCAAATCCATCATTAAAAATTAAAACCTAAGCTCATCCTTTTAGTTCAATCATAGAGCTTTGAATAATCTACCTTGATTCGCCTTAAGGTACTCGAGGTCTTTGACCTTTTTGAGTTTGAGATAAAGAAATTTAATTAATAACATTAAATTGGTGAAAATTTTGAGTGTTAGCCAAAGTAAATCGAAAGATGGTGACATTGTCCAAAAATTATGTTTAGGGTTAGTTTTACTCTCTTCTTTTTTGATGGAAACTAGTTATTTAGTTAGCTAAGAAAGAAAAGTCATTGCTTATTGTTACCATCTTTGTCAAATTACCATGAATTTTTTAATTAATTGTAATAATCTGGTTGTCAAAGTTACTAGCACCTATTAAAGTTAACGTCACTTATCAAAGTTATTGTCGTTTTCAATGTTACTACTATGGTCAAAGTTACTTGGTGCGGAGTGGGACTTGGTAGCAATGGAGTCGCTACCTATAACGTCATGTTGTTTCTATTGAAAAAAATCAAATGATATAGTCTATAATATCATGTTGTTCTTACCAAACTTAATAATCCAAACAATAGTTTTTTTTATGTCTTTGTGTTTTGTTATATCTAACAATTAAACCAACTCTTGTATACTATTAACAACTAAATAAAAACCCTTTTTATATTTTTTTTCTATTTTGTTCTATCCAAGATTGAAGTCGTAATGATAGGTGTTTACTCATCTAAAAAGTAAAGGAGGATAGGCTAGTTATGAGGTACTCTTGAGTGGAGGTTGTGGCTAGTTATGGCGTTACCGATGTGGTATTTAGTTGGGCTAGAATGGAAGGTTATAGCTAGTTATGGTGCTCGTTGGTTTTGGGCGGTAATAAGAGGTTATAACTGGTTGTGGTGCTACTAGTTTTGAGCGAGTAATAGGA